ATATTGAAATTCATATACGTACATGTGTCACATCTAATTGTGTTAGTGTATCAAGTGTAGAAGTGAGTCACTTAGAAGTAGTCACGTAGAAGTGATACACTAACACAATTAGATATGACACATGTACGTATATGAATTTCAATATGGCGACGAAATGTTGCAAGTTATTCCGTTCAGCAAACCTGGCAGTACACGGAACATTTTTCGTGCTCAACTTTTTTCCCTCTAGCCTATCTAGTTGCGTCTCCTTATTCTTACTTCATGACCATTCCATATCCAGCCAATCAAAAATTGGCTCAACATTGGCCAGTCTGTTATTATAGTGTCTCTAGGTGTGCCGTATAAAACTTTTGGCCAGATTGTACTAGAAAGAGCCACAGATACCACTTGGGAGTCTCTTTGTCGGATCACGATACTAGCGCCCGTGCGCGTTCCAGTATTATTATATTTCAATGTATTTTACAGACTTCAAAACTTGACTCTTATCATATTAACCTAAAACACAATGTCTCGTACTTTGCCGAGTAAAAATAAAAAAATACGAATTTGTATTAAATTCAGATTAGCATTGCATTAAATCTGTATTGAATTCGGATCATTTATCAGAAATCTGCAGCAATGTTGAGCAATGTTGAGCGTATAACATTAGAAAGCAAAAAAGTTTTTATCTTTTATATCTTTCGTATACATATTATCATGAGTAATCCACAGATAAATGTATTCTTTCAGTGAAAGTCCCAGGATTTTCTGACGCATGCGCAAGGCAACGGGACATTTCTTTTTAAGGGCCGGCACTGCCGGCAGGAATCACGGAGACCTCTGTCGGAAATGAATTTTTCTTATCCCAAATTTGAAAATTACGGCTAAAATCACAATATAATTGCGATATATATTCGTAATCAGGAGAATTGCCTGCATATCTCTACAGAGCGATTTTTTGGAAACAATGAGGGAAAATAAAATTTTATTCTGATGTCTATCGCTATCGTGCACTAAGGTGCAGATTAATCTTTTTTTTTATTATATTATTTTAAGGACCAAATTGCAAAATCCGGCTTTAGGTTTGGCAGCTTCGTAAAATATGGACTAGTAAAAGGCTCGTTGCAAAACAGTTTCTACGAAATATGATTCAATTCGATCTTATCGCGATTAAGAAGCAAATAATTAAAGGATTTCCACGCTTTTCGGATACCCTGTGTAAAAATATCTCCCGTTTTCTTTTGCAATTTCAATGACTAGCAGTATAATTACAAATTGTATGTTTAAATAAATAGTAATTACTGTATATCAAATATAAGGATAATAACAGATTTATTGCAATACATTTCAGAATATAAAATACATGCTGTATTATTCATCTCATATGATCATTAATTCTACAGTCATCTTGCTCTTTTTAACCCCAATCATCACTATTTATATCTTGTACGATATCTGTATCTTCTTTCGGCAAATCTTCATCCTCCACATTGTTGATCGTCTTCCTTTTTTTGTTCTTCTTATGCTTTTTCGCCTTATTTATCGGCTTTTTCGTTTCTCCTTCGGATTCCGTTCCCTTCAACCGAAACTCAAATTCGCTCTCTTCTTCGCTATCCTCTGCATCTCGCTCATCTAATTTCTGCCTCTTCAGTGCTCTCGCCGGTACATTGAGCACTTCTTCGTTCTTCGTAAGAAGTTTGAGCATCTGAGACTTGTGTATTTGAATCCAGGAAGCGTAGAACTTGGCTATTTCTGTGCCGTCCGTCTTTACTCGGTTCTCCCAATTTGTGATCTCTGCCGTGTTCTTCAGATCTATCGGTATCTTAATACGCTCAGCTTCGATGTATTTTCTGTTTTCCTCAATCATATTTAGAAGCTGTTTTATCTTCTTGCAGTAAGTCGCCACACGGCACTTCTTCAGAAACGCTTTTAACTGCAAAAAAGCGAAATACATAAATTTAATATTTATGAAATATAAAAATCATAATTTTTTCTCTTCAACTGTTTTCGTTTTAATCTATTTTTAAAGTACCTGTATTATGCAAGGTATATACACATCCGGAAAATATATCTTGTGACTTTCATTCGCTGCATCCTCCAAGATAAAACGGTAAACGGTTTCGATAATACTGTCCTTGAAACCGTTCTCCACCAATTGCGATTTCGACATCCTCAATATGCAAATGAGCGGTATAGGTTTCATCGTAACTGCTTTATGCCTCTTATTAAAATCGTAAGAGTCCAATATCTAAACAGAAATATTTGATGTAAGATATTGTGCGCAATCAATAATTACAAAATATGTTTAAGAATCGAGAATGGTTGATACCTCGAGGAGGAACGGCAAAATGGGTATGAACATTCCTGTCTTCTCGGAAATGGTTATTAACATTTCTACACAGTGGAATCGCAGGGGATAGTATTGCGCCGTTGGAATGACTTTTATTGTTCCAACAATAATCTGTTAATAAATAATTCAATGTAGTTTTCTATTAAATCGTAATATTACTTATTTGTTTGTACAAATTAATTGATACCTGGACTAATGGATACAATAGCGATCGTAACATGGATTTCTCCTTTGATTTAGTTATCAAATCTGTCCAGAAGCGCAAAGAATTAATATACTGCCAATTATATACAGCTTGAAAGTTTTCCTGAGAAAAGAAAAAAAAAGGGTTAAAAATCTCAAGATAAGGAATAGACGTTATGAAAGATACAACTGCTCTTTTAAAAATTACCCTCTTCTTTAATGTTATGGCGTTTCTTAAATTAATCGCTAATTGCCTGATGTATAGAAAGGCATGATTGTATGAAATATCATGGTTGAGCAGATAAATCTCAACCAAAGAATGTTTCATGAAATTTATTCCTGGTAACGTGTTAGGCGAAACAAATTTTGTGTTCTGAACGTATTTCACATACATGTTCTGAAAGAAAAACCAATTTTAATAACATAACCGTGATAACAAATAATTCACAAATATCCTTTCTATTATGGATCTCACCTTTACTAGCTTCTCTAATACAGATTCTTTGCTAGTTGCAATATGTAATATGTTCAAGAAAGCTGTAACCCGAACAGTTTCTTCTGCAGTTGACCAAAGCTTTATCAAAATCTTCAGCAATGGTTTAGTTAAAGATGAAAACGAGCGAGTATAAGGCAACATTTGACGTAGGTGCTTCAGAAGCACTGTGAGAATACTGGTTGATGCTACACTTTGTAATAACTATGAAAAAGATATTACTTGTTAGTGTTGAATTATTTAAATTAGAGGAATTGAAAAAATTTGGCAAATACATACTTTGATTAAATCAGACAAGTACAATTTTAAGATCCATCGTATTTTTCCGAATCTTTTAGATTTATGTGCTTCCTGTGATTCTGAATCCAGATTCAAAAAGCGTTTGAATGCATCAGGCAGATACATTATACATAGTTGCATGACAGCATTAAATGCTAAAATTTTTTATAAAATTTTAAATTAGTAACTTTGAATGACAAAAAAAAAATAATATTAATAATGGGAGTTGAAGCTTACTAGCACTTCCTTCTACTTTGTATTCTGTAGTTGTATCAGGTAATACTGCGACGCTATCTAAAGCTGCATGGAAGGCCTCTACAGTGCATTTAATAGTGACTATCGATCTACAAATTAAGTATCATAAACAGTTACTATTCTATTATTGATTTAATAAAACAAAAAAAAGTCAGTGATAACTTACTTATCCGTTTGTATTTTTTGTTGCCAAGTTTTCAGTAATTGTAGAGTGATTTTCTTTTTAGAATCGCCGTCAGTTTCTTCCGGCTGAAAATCGCTATCGTCGCTAGCAACCTACAAAAATAATAATAATATTGCTTGAAAATAAATGTAAAAAAATAGTTAAATTGTTTATAAAAATATATGTACCTCCAAATTTTCATTAGGAACATGTCTATTATCGGAACCATCTATTGAAGAATTATCATCTTCGTCGTCCGACACTCTGAAGTCCAGAAGATTTTTGTCATTTTCTTTCAGATATTTATAAAACTCAGGATCAGTATCTTTCAGTTTCATCAATGACTTTTTATGCTCTGCTGGATCCAAGTCACCTTCGCTGCTGTCACTGTCCATCTGATCATTGTCTTTGTTATCTATGTAAAAAGATAATAAAGAAAATAAAATACATAATTTAAAATATGAAAGAAACTTGAATGTTTAAAATCATACCTATGTTTTTATCATCATCATCATCATAACTATCATAAGCATCGCTATCCATTTCAAAATTTTGTTTAAAGAACTCTTCCGTGGTCAATTTACTCAACTCTTTCTTTTTCCTCAGTTTCATCAATGACTTTTTATGCTCTACTGGATCCAAGTTACCTTCACTGCTGTCACTGTTTATCTCCTCATTGTCTTTGTTATCTATGTAAAAAGATAAATAAGATATATAAAGAAAAATAAGATATATAATTTAAAATATGAAAAAAACCCAAATGTTTAAAGTCATACCTATGTTTTTATCTTCATCATCAACACATGCATCGCTATCCGTTTCAAAATTTTGTTCAAAGGACTCTTCCGTAGTCAATTTATTCAAACCTCTCTTTTTTCTCTTAGCAATTGCTGATTTTTTCTTTTTTGAGTTAAGAGGCTTCTGGTTTACCTTCTTCACCTTCATTTTGATAAGTGAATTTTTACGATTGACTTGAATAATCTGAAAAAAAAATTTGTAGATTGTGAGATAAAATATAAATGAATTTGAGTAAGAGATACGACAGAATCAACATTTATAACCTCATCTTTTGCCTTCTTTAAATAATATCGAAAAATTTATATATATTATCTCATTAATATTAATATGATAGACGCATTACTTCTCTTACCTATAATCTTTATTTCACCAAATTATTAATTCATAAATGCTCTACATAATATATATTTATAAACACAAATCTCTTACACAAATTTCCACGTGTTTTCAGTGCTTTCAGTGATCATATACCCAGATATCGCGTATGCATGAACGGCGTGAGAAAGATCTGTCCGAGTGTCGCGTTGCTTGCACTTTTTGCACTATTACTCACTACAGTAGCCAATCATTCTTTCGCTTTTATGGAAAAGCGGTAAATTCAATAAATTGATTGGCTACCGCGTCTCATCTTGCGCGCGGCAAGCATTGTTACGTCATGTGTGCAGGAGGTGTAGGAGCCATAAAGTTCCGAAATCACGTGACCAGGCTGGCGCTGTCACGCTGCTTTGCCTGCTTTCGGCTTTCCTCATTGAACCACTGAATACGCTTTATGTGCGAAACTAACCTCATTCACGTGAATGTGATTCCAATAAACTCTAATTTCCAGGAGCTCTTTCGATTTTCAAATTAAATACGAACGCAGCGTACACAAAAAAAGTAATAATTACCATTTTATTTCGACAAATATTTAAATAAATTGTAAGTCCCATAGAAATGATCAAATTTCTTGTTAATTTTGCAAAATTATACGTTAAAAGAGAAAAAAATGAGTAGATATAACAAATATATATATTCTAGATATATATTGCTCATTACGTGTTGATTTCTTTAAATAATTGCAACATCTTGTATCAATTCAATTATTAAATCTAAATAACAAGTAGAGAAGATATGTTTTATTCATTGCTCTTGACGTAATCAATTTATTTACAGTAGAAAAGTAAATGTGATTTTCGAATTTACAGATTTATAAATGGCAGATTCCAAAAGTAATCCAGATACCACAGACACGACAAACGATGTTCTGGATACCGCATCCACAGTGGAAGACAAATCTATAGACGAAAGGAAGATACCATGTATTATCGTACTTGGGATGGCTGGTGCTGGAAAAACATCATTTGTCTCCAGACTTGTCTCTAGATTGTATAATGCAGGAAAGCCATATGCTGTTAATCTAGATCCTGCTTGTAAAGAGGTTTCATATCCTGCTAATATAGGTAAACAATCAACTCTAATATTATATGAAGTCATATTAGCTTATTAGAGAGTATTAAATATGTTAAATTGATGTTTTCCATCTCTTTAACTTTAAAGTTAATCTTAAAACGTGGATTATCCCACTGCAGCAAGCAGTCTTTCATATTTGCTTTAAACAGAGTTATACTTTCTTTCAGATGTAAGAGACACTGTAAATTACAAAGAAGTAATGAAACAATATAATTTGGGCCCAAACGGTGGTATCGTCACGAGCTTGAATCTTTTTACCACAAAGTTTCATCAGGTTATCGAACTTATTGACAAAGCTAGTAAAGAGCATAATTATGTGATTTTCGACACTCCAGGACAAATTGAGGTGTTCACATGGTCGGCCAGTGGCTCGATCATAACAGAAGCATTGGCGTCTCAATTTCCAACCATTATTGTATACGTGGTGGACACTGTGAGAAGTGTCAATCCTGTTACGTTCATGTCCAATATGTTGTATGCTTGTTCGATACTTTACAAGACCAAATTACCTTTTATAGTAGTTATGAACAAGGTAATTAGCTATTTAAAACACGTATGTTTCAACCATGTAGCTGCAATTACTTTAATTTCGCCATTACTTTAATGGCGCATTACTAATATATTTTTTAGATTGACATTGTTGAACATAGTTATGCAATTGACTGGATGCGCGACTTCGAAGCCTTTCAAGAAGCACTCGACAAGGAAAGCGGTTACATCAACAATCTTACACGTAGCATGGCACTTGCGTTAGACGAATTTTACTGTCACTTGCAATGCTGCGGCGTTTCCGCGGTAACGGGTGCTGGAATTGATGAATTTCTGGAGCTGGTTGAAGCTGCCGTGAAGGAATATGAAACGTAAGAACTGCCATATATTTTGAAAATTTACAAATTGCACTGTGAATTGTGATGGTGCGTCACATAATTATATGTACCTGTACCTTATTGAAATACGGATTCCCAAAGCGGGTTATACCATTTTGTCCTTCCTTTACGCTCCTTTACTCACAGCATTTAATTTAATTTCCATTTTTATAAAATCGAGGCCTACATAGGATAATTTCGAATTTGAATTTAAGACCCCTTAATTACAAAGTCGACTCGCTCTCATACGTTGCCCCGTATATTGTGTTATAAATAAGTTTTTTTGTTTTTAAAGGAATTACAAAAAGGATTGGGAAAAATTGAAGATGGAGAGAGAAGCCCAACGAAAAAAGGCAGAGAAGAAACGATTGGAAAAGGCTAGTAAAAAAGCAATGGGAGAAGCTGTACCGTTTGTGTCAACGGTCAGCAGTGGTCACGACACTTCGGAAATCTATCTGAAACACGCGTGTAATGAGTCAAGCGAAGACGAGGAGGGAACAGAAAACGATTTTGAGGAAAATGAAGGTGAAAAGAAGAAAGAAGAAGAATCATTTAGAAATTTCTTAGAGAGGCACAAAATCGAACAAGCTAAACGACGGAGTAATCAGGAATCCGAACCTAATACAAGTAAACATTAATACTTATAATCGTAATTCAATATATTTTTATAAATTCTTAAGCAAATAAATTATTTAGCAAAAAAATTGTTTTAATTTCAAGGATGTATGGAATTTAAAAAAATTGCTCACCTCACTTCCTGTCAAACAAATATCTTTTATTTAAATCCTAATTTTTATATATAACAGAGAGTTTTCACTGTACGTACATTGGAGTAGATTCTATTGTAACATGTGGAAAATTTTATTCTTTACTGTCGAGGCTCATATTTGCAATAAAAACAAAATTACAATATATGATTTAGAATCAAATCTAGCATTTGTATAGTATTTTATAATTTTCCTATTTCCAACAGATTCGGCAATATTACCGATATATTTTAAATTAATGTTACTTTTAATGTTCAGTTTTCATTTAAGCGCATCCTATTTTAATACAAACTGAATATATTTTGTAACTTGTAACATTTAAATTCAAAACGATTGATACCGTTGTGAGTTTTAATGCATACTTCACTCTGTTGTTTGTATTCTCGTCTCTATTAATAAGGATTTGAAAATTTTTTAAAAATTTCAGACGAAACTAATCGGCTCCTCAAATATTTTCTGATCATTCATACATGACTTTGTGTTTATTAAATTTGACTATTTGTTATTATTACTAATCGTATCAAATTCGCTGAACAGAATCAGATGCCATTAAAAAAGAATGCACATTGTATTTATTGTCTTGTTCATAAGCTAATTATATATTTTTTAAGTATTTATTGTAAAATAACTTGTTAGAACAATCTCTGTCAAATCAAGCTCGTAATTTACTTGAATCTCTCAAATGTAAAATAAATGTTTGTATGCTCATTATCTCTTTATAAAACGTAAATTACAATTATTTTTTAGATTATAGTATATTAAAATAATCGATATATGTATATATATATGTGGGTATGTGTTTCGTCTAAACTTTCAAAAAAATTTCGTTTACACTCGCGCGCGCGCGCACACACACGCACATACACATACACACAAAACTTAAATAGCATGCAAATGGCTGCTTAATTAAATAACATTCCTAATACATAGCACAATATTGGTAAATTTATTGACGCAATATTGGACCAATGTATTTTCAATGTATTTACGGGATACAACTTTATCTCGGATTAATAATCTCGAATTACTAATTATTTATATTAAATAATTCAACAGATATAATATCATAATACCTTACATTGTAAGTAATATAAATACTGCTTAAAAGAAGATTGAAATCAGTAGTTCTACACTGATTTCAATGACTGTTTTGAATATTAAAGTGCAGACCGCGTTTATCTAGCGTAGTAATGCGCCAAGGTGATGAGATTGTTTTGCGTTCGGACGATGCATCGGTCTTTGTAGAAAGAAACGTCGAATATTTCATACTCCGTTCTATAGTAGGTTTCCGATTTGGAACATTGTTGAATTCAATCTCATACAAAACAGGAACTAAAATATATAAAATTATTAATATTTAAGACATTTAAAACATATTTAATTTGACGCATATAGATATATCGTTGATATTATCAAATTGATTTTTGACAAAATTTTATTTCAAAGAAGAGCTTGACATAAATAATTAATAATTGTTAAATTTATCAGAGCACATTATATACGTATATTAAAATTTTGAAATATAAAATAATATATGTCAAGAACTCGAATTATATTCAGATTCTGAGAAAACACAATGAGTTACTCCAATAATTTTTTCATTGGTCCAGACCAATTTTTTATAACATCAAAGAAAGAGATAATCGCGGTTTAAATTGATTTCTATGTATATATATTGAGATTTCGCTTTTCTTCTTAATTTCATCAAATGTTGATCTACTTTTGCTAATTCTATTGTTGCAATAATTTAAGCGTTAGTATTAGCAATAAAAATTTTATTAGTGTAAATTTGATTTTAATAAAATTGTTTTTGAAAGGCTCTTACATTAATGACAAAATGATGTGAATTATAAAACGTGAATTTTTTGAACAATTAATTTTAGTGTTAATAACCGAGTACAATTTCAATACTTTTATTATACCTGTGTCGTCTTGAGTGTTCCCTATCCGTTTTGGAGTATTATCCTTTATTACAATCGATTTTTTTTCCTGATCGTGTTCCCGCCGATATTCTTGAATAATTTGCTCCAAAGTTTTAGTTAGAGCCAGCTTAGTGAATTACAATATCCCATATATGAGCGTAAATATAAACTATTGTCAAGAAGTCATAAAATATTTTTGAAAAGATCAAGCGATTAATTAATATTAATTATTAATTATACATTAAGCAATACACAATAATTAATAAATATTAGAAATAATTGAATTTTCCGTTTTAACCATTGATTTACACAATGATAAATCAAACTCGGAAGTGAGAATTTAAATCATATAAACTTTTTTTTCTTTTTACACTTTGAATGAAAAAAAACGAGTGAAAAAAATAGCGTTTTGTAGGTACATAGTATAATAACTCGCGTTCGAATAGAGAAGAATATACCTGGCATAGTTTTAAGCGAGATACGCGATTCGCCTCCGATCGCGGGCTCTCCTCCGCATCTCTCGCGGCCTCGTGCTGCAAGCACCCGCGGACCTTCCCGCCGGCCTTCCGGCACACCTTGGACAGCAGATCCGCCCGATCGGCGCGGAAATTCTCATGCTGGAACTCGTGCAAGTGCGGGTTGCAGGAGTTGCAGGCCAGGTCGCGGCCGTGGCACATGATCTTGCGAAAACCGTAGAGATTCAGCTGCCTGATGAAGCTCGTGATGTTGCTCGTCTTGAAGATGGGCCGGCGCGCGTCCAGATACTCCGCCTGGAACCTCTTGTAGTTGAGCAGTATGCTGTCGCCCTTGGCGCTCCAGCGGATCGCCCCGGTCTTGCACTCGTTCACTATCCGCCAGAGCTTCTGCGGGAACCGCATCGACTGCAGCACGCAGTCCTCGTACATCGCTCGCGACCGGGTCGCCGGTAGACTTACGGTACGGGCTGATCGAACGTGGAAACGGCCGCGCGCGAGTCGGGGAACGCCACGTTTCGAACGTTTCGTCCGTCTCGTTCGTGTCTTGTCTCGTTCTTCCTTCCAAAACAAATGACTGTCGTATCACGGCAACAACAATCAAGGCGGGCCCCTCCTGGGATGCGTTCAAATTTCCCACCTGGGTTCATTTTATCCTCGTTTGATCTGTCTTACGTCCTCATTTGTGGTCATCCTCCTGGTCTCGGTATCGAGCTATTTCCTTTACTTACAACTTTTTCCTTCACGCTTCCTCGCGTCTCTCCGCACTCGACTCCGACATTATAAAAATTAATTTATTCTACATCACTGCTGCATGTTGGCTCTTGTTAACAGTATAGACTGTTCTACTTTTATCGAACTATGAGAAATAGGATATAAATCGCGTGGCTATCTTCATATTAATTAAATACAAGAAAATGAATTTAAGGGTTGGGA